ATTGCGTGTGTGTGTGTGTGTGCGCGCGAGTGATTGTGTGTGCGCACGCGTAATTGTCTGTGTGGAATTGACTAAATGCCTGTGTATATGTTAGTGAGCGATTGTGTGAGTGGTCGAGATATAAAACGTACGTGTCTTGGGTGCGTGGCGGGTGCTGTGTATGTGTGGTGTGTGCGTGGTGTGTGGGGGGTGTGTGGGTTTTGCAGTGTGAATGCATCCACGTATTGTGATAGGCGAAGAGTAGAATGCTATGTGTAGTGTTCGTGTGTGTTGGGTATGAATGGTCTCTGTGTAGTGTTTGGTATGTAGTGTGTTATAGTCTGTGTGTAGTTTGTGTGTAGTGTTTGTGTATATAGTCTGTGTGTATTGTGTGTATAGTCTGTGTGTGGAGTACGTGTTCTCTCTGCACACAAGCGTGCATTATGCGCATGTATGTGCAGCCTATGTGTGTTGCATGTATAATCCGAGTATATTTCTAGGGGGTAGGCTAAACAACAACAACAACAACCATCGGTAAACCGGTAAACGTTTTCAAGAATCGGTTACCGGTTCAGAGAATCAGGAACCGCTACATCGCTTCCAGTGGGATGCTTGTAACGAATAAACTGATTTACACAGCGGCGGCCTAAGTCACCGCGTCGTGCGGATGGCACCCACGTGTCTCAGCGTAATAAAGGTACAACAGCATTGGTAGGTTCATCGCTTTAGACGCATCTGTACGGGTGGCAAAACCGGTAAATCGTTTTTTTTTTCACCGATAACTTTTTATCCGCTTACATGGGAATGCAAAAAAAACAGATTTTTTTTTAGCAATCATAATATGTTGTACACACACTACATGGTGGTGATACCGTTGTTGCTGCTGCTGCTGCTCTAGTTGGCGGTCGTGCACAAGACGAGTTAACAGCAACAACAACAACACAATCGGCAATAACACTGCCGCGGTCTTAACATGGAAGATACATAAAAGACACATTAAAACTAAGAAGAGCTTTTTTACAAAACGTCGCTTATTAAACATTGAGTTTCACCGTTGTCCATAGACTATTATTGCTCGGACTAAAATTGCTCATAGAATAACATTGCCCACAGTCTAACATTGCCCATAGACTAACATTGCCCATAAACTAACATTGCCCATAGACTAACATTACCCACAGACTCACATTGCCCATAGACTAACATTGCCCACAGACTAACATTACCCACAGACTAACATTGCCCATAGACTAACATTGCCCATAGACTAACATTGCCCATAGACTAACATTGCCCATAGACTAACATTGCCCATAGACTAACATTGCACGTAGACTAACATTGCCCTTAGACTAACATTGCCCATAGACAAACATTGCCCATAGACTAACATTGCCAATAGACTAACATTGCCCATAGACTAACATTTTCCATAGACTAACATTGCCAGTAGGCTAACATTGCCCATAGACTAACATTACCCACAGACTCACATTGCCCATAGACTAACATTGCCCACAGACTAACATTACCCACAGACTAACATTGCCCATAGACTAACATTGCCCATAGACTAACATTGCCCATAGACTAACATTGCCCATAGACTAACATTGCCCATAGACTAACATTGCACGTAGACTAACATTGCCCATAGACTAACGTTGCCAATAGACTAACATTGCCCATAGACTAACATTGCCAGTAGGCTTGCTTGTTGATGGTGTATGGAGTTGTTGAGTCCGGCTGGGCCAGGGTTGGGAAAGTGACGCAGCTCCACCACTCTTCACTCAGGCCAACCGCAGAGCACTGATGTCGATATTTCTTCACTTCTCACTCGAAGATGATGCCATTGCACATACGCACCGACGTGTGTGTGCATGTGAGGTTAATGGTGTGGGATCGGTCGTGTAGCGGTTAGCGCTACGCTGCGCTACGAACCCGGCGACCCGGGTTCGATTAGCCCAATCACGGCCAACACCGGTGACGATAATTTAAATCGGTCCTGGGCCTCCCCTAGGTCGACTCGGCCTCAAATGAGTACCTGGTGCGGTGTGTAAACATCGCCACTGGGGAGACCAAGGCGGCCGTGCGTGGTGTTGGCCACTAACATCCTCGTGTGCCGTGCCTGCCCTCATAGGTGCTCGCTAACAGCACTTTCCCCAACAGTCTGTTAAGGCGACACGGGAGAATCCTTGTTTTTGAGGTTAACGGTGAGTGTTGAGCCGTGTCTGTGTGCAGCGGCAAGCGCGTGTCTGCGTGAATCCCCGCATCAGATCCCTCGCTCTTATTTAGTGTCCCGTGCGTCTCTCGGGTATTTTGCAAAAATCGCCGCGGCTTTTGATGCCGCTTAGGACGGGATAAATAGGGAGGGAGGGAGGGTAGGCGAGGCGCTGGGGGACATCCCACGCAAGGACGGGGAGGGAGGAGGAGGGGAGGGAGGGAGGGAGGGAGGGAGGGAGGGAGGGAGGGGAGGAATCCGCACACCCCCCTTAATCAGATCAGAATCACAATCTGTATTTAGACCGGAGGAAATCCGATGAGCTATGAAGCTCTTGTTGTCACAGATGTCCAGTATGGCGTGGGTCAGCAAGTGCGTTGTGAGAGAGAGAGAGAGGAGGGGGGAGGGCAGCGTCCCAGAGTTGTCGATCTGCGTCGATGCCGTAACGAAGCGCCCCCCCCCCCCCCGTGCCGCACGCTCCGTGCAGACCCCAAGGTGGATGCACGGTGGCCGTGAATGTGCGGGCGATGGGAAACAAGGGGGAGGGTTTGCAGGGGTGGGATGACAATAGGGGGGTGGGGCGGGGTAAGCGCTATGGGGCGGGAGAAGTCGAGGGGGTGTCGAGGGGGTGTGTGGTACGGTGTTGTGCCACGCGTGGTGTGCGTGCACTCGCTGTGCTGCGCTGTGCGCGCGTGTGTGTGTGAGCGTTGCTGATTTCTCACTGAGTGTGGTTTCCTTCCGGGCCCCCCTGTTGGACTGGAGCCGGTAGGCGCCGTGTCCGATGGTCACAGCCGTAGGTCAGATGTCTACCGGACGCAGTGTGCCGGGTGCGGACGCATCGCACTGTGGAGGTAGCGAGTGTTGGTTGTCGTGAAGCGCCCTTCCCTTGGGTGTCCAGGACGGTGCCGTGACCCCGGCTCGCCACGAGAAGGCAGGACAGAGCGTGGACTAATCGCCAGCTGTGTCCATCTGTACGGGGGTTGGAGTGATAGCCCCCCTCCCCCCCGCGAGCATTGGGTTTTCTACGAATGCTCCGTTTCCTACCACTTTTAAAATAAGCGCGTTGATTTGCTGAAAACGCTCGAGTCATACGACTCATTTGAACATTTCTGTATAAACGCGTGGGTAAAAATACGTCATACGTCTATACTGGATGTGGAATGCCGGGTGTAGAAATATATGTCTGTGATGTGTCCATGTTTTGCGTCCCAGTAGTGTCTGTATGTATATACAGCCTGTGTGTATGTGTGTGGGGTGTACATGAATAGTGTTCCAGTAGTGTGTGTGTATATATACAGCGTGTGTGTGTGGTGTGTACATGCATAATGTTCCAGTAGTGTGTGCTTGTATACAGCGTGTGTGGTGTGTACATGTATAGTATCCAGCAGTGTGTGTGTGTATACAGCGTGTGTGGTGTGTGTACATGTATCGTGTCCAGTAATGTGTGTGTATACAGCGTGTGTGTGTGTGGTGTGTACATGCATAATGTTCCAGTAGTGTGTGTTTGTATACAGCGTGTGTGTGTGGTGTGTACATGTATCGTGTCCAGTAATGTGTGTGTGTATACAGCGTGTGTGTGTGTAGTGTGTACATGCATAATGTTCCAGTAGTGTGTGTGTATACAGCGTGCGTGTGTAGTGTGCATGTAGCCTATGTGTTTGTGGTGTTTGTATGTACAACGTTCTGTGAACATGTGTCGCTTGTGACAGAGGAGCACGTGTGTCATGTGTTCACGTGGCGTGTTCTGGCCCCCAATTGCTCATCGAATATATTTGCCCCCGATCACTGGTAGTCTGGATGAGGCATCTCGAACGTATACTGGATGTGGTGTGCCGGCTGCGAACGCACCGGGCTTAAATGAAGGCCAGTGCGCGTGTATGACGTGTATCGTGCATGCACGTGCATGTAGCGACTCTATACATTGTGGGGAGCGGTGGCGCGGTGGTTAGCGCACTACGCTACGAGCCTGGCGAGCCAAGCTTAGGTTCCCGTTCACAGCCAACATCGAGTGACGATTATCTGAACTTGTTCCTGGGTCTCCCCTAGATCAAATCAGCCTCAAATGAGCACATGGTGCCGTGGGAAAAAATATCAGCACTGGGAAGACAAAGGCGGCCGGGACAGTCGCTAGCCACCTATCTGCCTCGTGTTGGCTATTGGAAGGTGCTCGCTAACAGCACTTGACCCAACGGTGTGGGATCTTCCCCTTTCCTCTTTTTGTATTTGCATGTCGTCTGTGCATCTTCGTATGCATGTGTTGTGTATACGTATATAGTGGGTATATATATATGTGTGTGTGTAACATAGCAGCGGTTGTGTCTAATGCGTGCAGTCTCGTGCATGTGTGCTCTGAGCGTGTGTGTGTGTGCATGTATGCATTGTGTGGTACCGTGTCGCGTCTATAACCTTACACACATCGCGGTTATTAAATTTAACAAACGCATGGTCTGTACGTACTAAGGTCCCTTGTATGGTCCAACCGTGCGTTGCGTTACCGTAACGATCCCCGCTCGGCGCGATCGGGGGACCAGGGCGCACCGCGCTTCATCCAATCAATCCCCTTCGCGCATAAGTGGCAACAGCAGCAGCAGCAGCTGCAGCGGCGGCAGCGGCGGCAGCGGCAGATGCATGCATGGCGGGGTCTGCGGAACACAGAGAAGAGAGGACGAGAGAGAAGAACAGAGGAGGAGGAGGAGGGGGCGAGCGCGGGCGGGTGGGCGGGCGGGCCGCGGGAGGGGGCAAAGCGGGCTGCTGAAAACCAGGAATTCGCCGATGCAGTCTCAGAGTGCGGACGCGCACCCCTCGCTGTAGCGACGACTCCGCAGTGCTCGTCACGCACGCACGCACGCACGGACGGACGGACGGACGGACGAACGGACCGACGGACCGACACGCGCACCGACACGCGGACGGGAGAGCTCGCGCGCGCGCGCGCGCCGTGCACGAGCGCGCACCCCACGACCGCCGACGAGGAGGCGCGCGATGAACGCGTGAGCGAGCGAGCGAGCGCGGCGTGCGAGCCAGAGAGAGAGAGAGCGAGAGCGTGCGCGTCTGCGTGAGTGGGGGAGCGAGTGGAGTGCGTCCGTGCGTGTGTGCGTGTGTCTTTCCGTGTGCGTGCGCGCGCGCGCGTGTGTGTGTGTGTGTAGGAGCTATTGCTTATCCGGGCAGAGGCCGCGCGTACGCGTGCGTGCGCAAGTGATCTCGCCGCCGCCGTGAGTGAGTGAGCTGTGTGAGAGAGCGAGAGAGAGCGCGAGAAGTGTGTGGTGTGTGTGTGTGCGTGAGAGAGAGAGAGAGCGCGCGCTGTGTGAGAGAGTGAGAGAGAGATTGAGAGAGCCGCTGTCGGTCGAGAGACTCCCGTATCCTGCGCCCTCATGCACTGCTCTGGAGCGCCGCCCAACCCGGCCGCCCTGCCCGCCCTGGGAATGATCCCGCACCCGGCCTGCGCCCTGGCCTTCCTCTACATACAGCAGGTGAGCACGGCTACGGTAACAACGGCGACGGTGCGGTGGTGGTGGTAGTGGTGGTGGTGGCGGTGGCGGTGGTGGCGCTATCGCAAATCCGGGGCAACGCGGCGCTTGGTGAGAACCTCTCGCCGTGTTCGCTCCGCGTCTCACGCGCGGCGCGCTCCGAGCTCGCGGCGTTGCGAGCGACTTCGCGGTCGGAGCCACCGTGGGGTTTGGAGGGTTTCTGTGCGGCGCGCGCGGTCTTATTTGTACGTTTTGGTAGATTTTTTTTCGCGAAGAAAATATTTATTTTCTCGTTTATGGTTTTAGAAATTGTTCCGATGCGAGTCGGACCGTGGTGTTGGTATTGGTGGTGGTGATGATGATATTACAGCCAAGAAAGCGACCGGGCCCTGTCGTCGTTAGATACGTTTCAGAGAAGCAGGCGTCGTGTTTGTAACTGGGACGTTTCAGTCGAGTTCGGGCCAAGCAATTATGATGAACACGTGCCCGCGGATCAGTAACACTTTTATTGGTTGGAGCATGCGGTGCGAGCTGAGATGTTGGACCAATGTAAAGGCGTCAGAAGACGGATTTTAATTGCCAAATATGGTGCTACGTGTGCCATGTGTATGATAAATGTGTGCACACACACGCAGCCCGCACGCACGCCTGCACTCACGACACACATAATCATCATCACAGCCCCTACGCGTTTGCATATCGCAAATTGCGCATTCGCGTAACGCTCTCTTTTAGTGGCATATTATATGGTTCCGCCAGCCGTCTCTAAATACCACAGATATGCAGCGGTCGCATTTTTCATTATAGAAGCGTGCAGACACACACAGAGAGAGAGAAAGCGCAAGCGAGAGCGAGAGAGAGGAAGGAGTGGGTAGATGTTGTATTGGGGTGGCAGGAGAGAGGAAGCTTCCTTGCTTCTTACGTTTTAATCGCCGCTCGCAGAAAGAAAAAAAAAACGTTGAGCGATGCTGCCTTAATTGGGGCCCCGAGTCCTGGACGCCCTCGCACGGGGCAATTCAAAAGCGCTCGTGCTGGTCCGTTGCGTTAATAATAAATGCACAAATAAATGCATAATAACCGCGCGAAATGCAATGTTCCGAAGGCGAAACTTGATCTGCCATGCGCGGTAATTAATCAGCGGCGAGGATTTTTTGACGGCCCTCTTCCTCCCTCGCAACACACACAACGCACACGCCAGCGAGCGAGAGAGCACTCGCGTGACATGAACACGCGTGCGTACGCGTGCATTCATATACGCGCGCTGACAAAGATCCTCCGCATAACCTCAACAGACTGTTGGGGCAAGTGCTGTTAGCGAGAACCTTTGATGGCCGGCACGGCACACGAGGGTTTGGGTGGCCAGCACAGTGCCCGGCCGCCTTCGTCACCTCCAGTAGCGATGTTTACACATCGCACGCACTAGGTAAACTCTTTTGAGGCTGAGTCTACCTAGTGGAGGCCGAGGACTGTTTCAGATATTCGTCACCGATGTTGGCAGTGAGCGGAAATTGAACTCGGGTCGCTGGGTACGTAGCGCAATGCGCTAACCACTGCGCCACCGCTCCTACACAGATGTACACACACGACAACACACTTTGACACACGTTTAGATACGCTTTCATACACAGTGACTCAACCAGACCACACGGCCACATACACACGTATGACATACACACAATGGACCAAAGACAACGATCCCCCGTATAGCCTTTAACAAACTGTTGGGGCAAGTGCTGTTAGCTAGCACCAATGAAAGCCGGAACGGCGCACGAGGGGTTGGTTTGACCAGGACCCACACCCGGCCGCCTTTGTCTCCCCAATATCTACACACTGCACGCACGCTCACACGCACTCGCAAACATGTCCACGGTTACATTTTTGTACTCTCGTCTCGGTCGGCTAAAACCTCAGGGGTCAAGTGGAGCAGCCCCCTCCTGCCCCTCTCCCCTCCCTGCACCCCCCCCTCACGTCCCCGAGTCTGTGAATTCACTCTGTCGGAAACGCGCACCGCACACCACCGCTGATGTAATTCCTCACCAAAAAAAAAATCAAGTGGAGTCTTAAAGGTGACCCGCTCACCTCGGCGTGACGCAGTGCACGAGTGCGCGTGTGCGCGTGTCAGTGCCTGTCCGAGCGTGTGCGTGTGTGTGTCTGTGAGAGAGTGCGTGCGTGTGCATGTGTGTGTGTGTGGGGAGCGGTAGTCATGTCAGCCAGTCATCTCAGTCAGGCAACCCATGGCACCTGGGTCTGTTCCGTAACCTCCTGTGAGCGGGCGTTCGACACTTCACGTGGCCTTAACGTGCACCTAGCCTGGCACAAGCGCCGTGGTGACGTCACCGCCACTTAGTGGCGAATGGCGGTTGTTGTTGTTGTTGGAGCGGTAGTGTAGCGGTCAGCGCGCTGCGCTACGAACCCGGCGACCCGAGTTCGATTCCCGCTCACGGCCACCAAACACCGGTGACGATTATCTGAACCGGTTCTGGGCCTCTCTTAGGTCGACTCAGCCTCAATTAAGTACCTGGTACGGTGTATAAACATCGCCACTGTGGGAGATAACGTAGTGGTGCTGGCCACCCATCCCCTCGTGTGCCGTGCCGGCCGTCATATGTGCTCGCTAACAGCATTTGCCCCAACAGTCTGTTACAGGCTATATGGTGCGTATGTGTGTGTGGGGTATTTGTTTATGTTTGTGTCTGCCCTTGCAATTCATTGTGCGTCAAAGAGTGTATGCGTGCACGAATGGAGCGGCAGCAGCACTTGCCCCAAACGCTCTGCTCAGGCTATACGGGGATCTTTGCCGAGCTGTGAGACATGGGATGCGAGCCCCCCCCCCCATCCCACCCCTCCGTGTCAGCACTGAACCCCCCCCTCCTCCTCCCCCCCCCACCATTCTCACGCGGGGCACCCCGTTTTGCCCCGAGGCTGCTTGGGAAGAGAACCCTGGTGTCTTGGAGGTCCCAAGAGGAACACCCCCCCCCCCCCCCACCATGTGCCTCGACTGCAGAGAGAGAGAGATTGGGGGGGGGGCGGGATAGCTATAAGAGTCATCGAGTACACAGCGGGGTGTATTTAAAGCGCAGAGCGCCTACACACACATACATAATACATAACTCACAAACATACATACACACCCATACATAATACATACACGCGAGTACATGTCTCTTGTACGTGCGCAAGCAACACGCGGTGGGTCCTGGGACTCTCCGAGGTCGCCACGGGTTCTCATGTGTACCTGTCGCGGTGTGTGGCGAGAACAAAGACGGCCGGGATGTAGTGCCAGCCACCACTCCCGTCGGCCTTCATAGGTGCTCGCTAACAGCCCTTGGCTGCGCAACAGTCGATTGAAGGCGACGGGGAGGTGGTCTTCGTTGGCTTTGACATGTTGGGGCAAGTGCTGTTGGCGACCACCGATTTAGAAGGGAACGTCACGCGAGTGGGAGGTGTGAGCAGCTCCACACCCCGGCCGCCTTTGTCTCCCCAATGCTGACGTTCACACACCGCAGCATGAACGAATCGCTTAAGGCTGAGTCGACCTAGGGGGAGACCCAGCACCAGTTCAGATGTTTGTCACCGGCGTTGTTTGTCCACGAGCCGGAATCGAACTCGAGCCGCCGCGTTCGTAGTTACAGCGCTCGCTGCGCTGACCACGAGCGCCACCGCTCCCTGCGCGTGCACGCATCGCGCGCGCGCGCAATATTCGCGACTGGCACGCGGCCGAAACTCGCGGACTTTGAACGCTCCGCCGCGTCCGCTTGAGCGCGTACATCGCCAGAGAGCCGCCGGACGATGCCTCCCGAACGCCCCCGAGGTGACGACTCGACCACGTCAAGCGCCCTTCCGAGTGAGCGAGGCCATCGCGTCTACGAGTTGGGGGGAGGGGGGTGGGTTGTGGCGGACGGGGTTTGGGTTGTGGTAGGTGGTGGTGGCGGAGGGGTCGTTTTTAGGGGAAGTTTTCGGACACCACCCCCCGCCCCCCCCGCCCCCATACAGGGCGGCTGCGAGGTTCGTGAGTGCCCATGAGACAAGTTCACCAATAGCCTCGAACGCGGCGGCGGTTGTCCGATCTCTGTGCATGGGCCGCATGGTGCCTAACGCCGCTGCCCGCTCCCATCATCATCATCATTATTATTGTTACTTCACCCGCAGCTGTTCATAGACGTATCACCAGGAGCCTGCTCTTGTTGAGCCGCTCGCTGGCTCGCTCACCAACCTCGGCACGAACACAAATACACCGTCAACGCTCCACGCCGTACTTACAGCAGGAGGAGCGTTCGATTCGAACGGCCTCTATTGTGAGTGTGAGGGTTATCCCACGCGAGTCGAACTGCCCTCTGTGGCAAGTCTCTCCTTGCATGTCCGCGTGAGTGGACATCTCGACCCAATGCGGTGCGTCGTCAACTCCGCCGCTCGCTCCGTTCATTCGCCTGCGACGTCGCACTGATGTTCGACACGACCACACATACACATCCCCTTCCACCCCACTACTTCTTCCACCCCCCCCCCTCCAGCCATTGGGGATAATAATAACGACACGTAGTCACGGGGTACACAGTCACTTTACGTTATAATGTCGCCCTCATTACACACAGAGTGCGTGCCACGAATGAACCACAATACCTCGCTGATCTCGACAAGGAGCCCGAACCATCACCACGCGATCTCAGTCCGCTCATCCTCGCAGCAGCAGCAGCGGCGGCAGCAGCAGCAGCGGCGGCTTTTGGCTCGGCAGTCGAGCAATCACGTGTCACCACCATCATAGCGTCCCGCTTACAGACGCGCTTCTGCGGCCGTCTGGAACGTTCTTCGTTACGATATTAGGACGCAACTGGAGCTATGCGCTTGTAAATCATCATCGAGATTCAAAGCTCATTTCTTTAGAACTTTGTTGTTTTATTTTTATTTTGTTGTCCTTCCCCCCGCCCCGCACCTCCGATGAACACGTTTGGCGACAGCGCGAACGTGGTTCAAGTCACACACACGGTACTGCGTCGTGCCGAGAT